TTTTGCAACTGTGGGTGCAAATTTAGCTCCACCATTACCTATATGATCATAAAATTAGCAAGTTGAATTCGTATTTTCGGTGTAAAGATATGTTCTGTTTTTTTTTTGTGAGAGAAGTGCAGCTAAACAGAGATGAATAATATATTAGATCTCTATCTAACATCGAGTAAATACATGTGAGTACAACGGCAGAAATGCTACTAACTAATGCAAGGATTAGCGTATCAGACCATATTAATATTATGTTTATAGCTAGAGAAACGATCTACCGCCGGCAGCGGAAATTTGTGGCGGCCATCGCAGAATCACCATTTTCTCAAGTTTATAAACAACAATGATTCCTGACGGTGGCTAATGGAAACTAGCGGGCGGCGGCCGTGATATTAGGAATTCGGGACCAAATCGTGTGAGCTACTACCTCCGACTCAAGATCTAATGGTGAGAAAAACACTAACCTCTTTTCCTCATCTCGTAGCTCACATGTATGGCCGGCCGGCCGGATTGTGCCGTTGGATCGATACAACAACACTTTTGTGTCCCCTTGCCGGAGAGATTATATGAAGACTAAAAGAACGCCCGTGCGTTGCAACGGGACCACATTAACTTTAAGAGTTCAATATTACGACATTGGCGACTTTTTTTACCATCAAATCTTCACACACACAGAACCACACTCTCCCTCTCTCTTCCTCACTCTCTATCCCCGTCTCCCTCTCGCTCTAACACACACACATATCCATCTTATTGGGTACGGGATCATAATCCATCTATTTCACACATACGCGCTAGTGCATAACAATATGGATTATGTGTATTATATTTGCCACCAGAATTGAGGGAATTAATTTCATGTAAATCGACCAGCCACAACTCCAAGAATACGCGGACGAGGTGGTTCGGGTCGGCGTCGGCGCCGTCCAGCGCGGGCCACGGGCCCGCTTCCAAGTGCACGTGCAATGCACGACTTCACAAATATTATAATCAGATATGAGAAATCACATGCATAGAAAAGACATTCTGATAGCAATCCAAATATCATACTCAATTGAATACCTAAACTGGACAATACTCTTATTTCTATGCGCCAGAAAAAAATGGAATAGTAAAGCTAAGTATGCCTACATACGCTCAGATTATATATAAGAATTTTGGGTGAACAATTGCAACAAAGCACTAAGCAGCGATAAATTTAAATAAAAAATCCATTAAATATGCAGGCAGCAGGCTTGTTACAACATAGAGAGATAGAAAAATGTCACCTCCAGTAATGTAGCGCAAAGGAGTGGAACGAAGCATGAATGAGCGGTTGCCTGTTCTTCTCCATGTACATGGATCAGCAGTAGAGGCCAAGTATATAAGTACTTGACCGAACTCCACTCTTCGTGTACGGAGAGCCATGTCACATTCTCGCCGCTGCAGCATGGGAGGACGGCTGGTTCACGTGACCCTCCAGCTGGGGGATCCATGGTGGCTGACCGTCGAGCTCGAGGCAGAGAAGTTAAGGGCAGTAGTGGCGAGATCCATGCCAGCCAACCGGGCGAAGAGGAGGTCGTCGGGGAGGGACACATCGGCAAGATCCGGTCACCACGCGACCTGAAGAGCAACAGTGATCTTCACAAGCTATAGGCCGACGGCGTGCTCCATCCCCTGCGATGGGGTGACCATGGCGGTGGCCACAGCTCCTCATGCCCGCCTCGATCTCGGCGACACACCCTGAGTGTAGGAGGCAGCAACGACCTCGACGAAATCATGGCCTCCATCCCGAAACGCAATCATGTCGCTCTAAATAAATGGATTCAATCATGTGACTCTAATTACTTCGGATTGTTATGTGCACACTAAGCGGGGTGCAGTTAGAAAAGAAAATGTTTTCTAATTAAAGTGATTGAGTGATTTAAGGTAAGGTTAATTAATTTAGATTTGATTTTTAGTGATTGTTAGTAAAGTATGATGCGTCTTTAAAATCTTTTATTTGTTTCCTTAAAATCTATTATTTGTTTCCTAAAGAAATTTGCAATAATGGAAGGTATCGGTTGATTTGGATAAGTTAGTAAATTTAGATCCGTGATTGCGTGCACGTTTGAAAAGTGCTGATTTGCAAGGAAAGAGCTGAGGGGTAAATAAACCGGTGAATAAGAAACCAACATCGAAAAAAATCTACGACGGTTAACCTACGAAAAAAACCGGATGAAGGTGGTGGGACGAAAAAAAAACCTGGAAGCGAGACTACCAACTGCTTCATTAGGAGTAGATCTAGCAGGCAGCCGGCGGCCGGCGGCCGGCGGCATGGTCGATCGCAGGAGCAGTTTTTTCAGTACGGTTGAAACGAAGGGATTACAATAGACCTGGACTGTGCACGTAATGCTTCATAGCCTGGCCCCCTTTGCTTTCATGGTGGGCTACTTCCTATTTTCTTTTCCATGGATTTGGGCCTTTATGCTGCAATCACTTGTTCAACAACATATGGGCTCTGGGCGTTTCTAAAACAAAAACATATGGGCTCTGGGCTATGGGAGGCACAGGTGGGGCGAAGCAAGCCACGGACAACTGCGGGGCCAAAAAATTTAGCGATTAACTTATCGCTATTAACCTGCGACACGATCGTTAGGGGGGGTCTCGCCCGGGAAAAATATCTAGTGCTCTCTCCCGGTGCTCCAAATGTCCGAAAAACATTTTTAGAATTTTCAAAAAATTCTGAAAAAATGCAGCACATCGACCGAACATCAATGTCTCTTGTCACAAAATTTCAAATCAAAATTCTAAACATTGCTTGAGATACAAAAATGGCAAATTTTTGTACATAACATAAGTTGGGCTTTAGTTTTGGCCCATTATCACATTGATGTCAAATTTGTCATTTTTGTATCTCGAGCAATGTTTCAAATTTTGATTTGAAATTTTGTGACAAGAGACATCGATGTTCCGTCGATGTGCTGCGTTTTTTTCAGAATTTTTTGAACATTTTAAAAAATGTTTTTCGCATCGGAGCACCGGGAGCATCCTAGGCCTGGGAGCACTAGATACTTTCCTGGTCTCGCCCCCCCTCGTCCCCCCTGAATCCGTACCTGGGGATACGCACGCTTTGCCGCGCGCCAGGAAGTCCTGCCATGATCTATCAGTTACACCTTTTTTATACAATTTTAGTTCATCCCTCTGAAATCTACCGATAATATGTGGAGCATGCTAGGAAAAAATATCACACAACTATTTAAACACAACCAACCAAGAATAATACGGATAGTACATCTCAGATAGTGCATAAAAGGAAAACCGGAGTTAAAAGTTCTGAGTCAAGAAGTTAGAATAGTAGTTTTGATCCACACTCTTCCTAATGCACACCTGTCTACCAAAACATACATCTGTTTGACCGCATATAGCATAGATAAATATTGTTGGCAGCTATTTGACATTGGTTAAGAGTGAACGATATTGGCATTTACATGGGCTCTGGAAGGGGTCATCTGCACCTCTAAACTACCTTTTTTCAGGAGGACGCAATCTATCCAAAGCCTTTCATGCATATAGAAGGGTAACACCACCACATCCTGCATAACCATGAAAGATGAACCATATTCTTAGGATAGTAATGCATAAGATACAAACTGAATAGGAGGAATGAACACCAAAAGCAAGATACTCCCTCCGTTCACAAATATAAGATGTTTTGGATATTTCAAAATGAACTATATATGGACTGAAATGAGTGAACAAACATAATAAAACATGTCTATATACATTCGATGCAGAATTTTTTTAGAACATCTTATATTGATGAACTGAGGGAGTGCCAATTTGCTAGGAACAATGAACACCAAAAATTATTCAAAGTTTAAATAGTGCAGTACCCGGCACGATACCCTCTTCAATAGCAACTTTAATGGGCATTAAGGGGCAGTTTGGTTGGAGTCCTGGCAAAAGATTTTGCCTGGCCTAGAACCTCCCTGAGATGTGCCTGGTTGGTGTTTGTTTGCTGCCCTGGACAAGTATAAACCAACCTGGCCTGGATGCACCGTCATCTTCATTAACCTCGCTTGACACCCGGCACCTTAGTTAGCCCGGCCCAAGGGGGCTGCCTGGACTTGCTAATCCCTTGAATAGCATAGGATGTGACGTTTTGTATTGTGAACTAGTACAATTTCATTTGTCTTTCACGTGTTCTCTCAGACCCAGGCTCATGGTCTCGAACTAAACAATGCACCTTTAGGCATGCCTGATCAGGCAGAAAACAACTACATGATAACCCACAAGTATAGGAGATCGCAACAGTTTTCGAGGGTAGAGTATTCAACCCAAATTTATTGATTCGACACAAGGGAAGCCAAAGAATATTCTCAAGTATTAACAGTTGAGTTGCCAATTCAACCGCACCTGAAAGACTTAATATCTGCA